GTCAGTATAACTTCTGGAAACAAGGCTGCACGTGTCAACCCGTCTGGCCTGGGCTGGGGATCAGGGGATCGAATCGATCTTGTGGGACAGCAGTAAATTCTTCCCCGATACTCTGCTCTGGGTTGTTAAACAAAAAAAAGTCTTGTACTAGCAAGGAGCCCCAGCGGCTGAGATGGCGTAGATCCCTTGTGCGCACGGTCTCTGGCGGGAACAAGTGGGCACCATGATCGCAGCGGGCCAGACTCAGGGGGTAAAACTAGCTCTAGGAAGGCCGAGAACATCGCATTACTGCATGAGTGGTCGCGGCTAAGCCGGGCTCCAACAGTCCAAGTCAGTAGGGTGTAGAGGGGTCCATGACTTACCTCCCTACCATTCAATCGCACAACGGTGCTGGGTAGAGGCAACAACAACCCTCCTATCGCGACAAGAGGGAACAAGGGCCGCTAATAGGCTCCGCTCCCAGGGAACAGATGACATGGTGGCCGGCGTCCCCCTCATCCCGCTGTGTCCTCTTGGGATCTGGATGGTGTGCGGTTCCGGTCAGGCCGGTGCGGGAGCGATTCTCCCAAAGAGGCCGTAGGCGACGTACTTGCCTGGGTTGGGAGGAGGCCGTCGGCTGCTCCGTGGTCGTGGGCGGTAGGAGCTGCAACGATTCCAAGAGAGGGCCCCTCGTCTTCTGGAGACGTAAACGATCTCGGGAGCCCTTGGTACGAAAAAGACACCTTGAAAGGGAAGCCCCATCTATATTTGATCTGGTGTCGCTGTGGGGCCACTAGGAAGGGCTTCAGGGCCTTCCTCTTCAAGAGCGTCTGCGGCGCCAAATCAGAAAAGACTTTGTACTAAAAGTCCTGGAAAGTAAGGTCTCTCTTTTCCCATGCGGCTTTCATGATCGCTTCTTTGGTCTTGTAGAAGGTCGGTTTGAGGATAACATCCCTCGGGGAGCCATCTGGGCGCTTAGGACCTAGCGCCCGATGAACCCGGTCAAGCTCCAACCTCTCCACTGGATGGCCTGGTAAGAGTTCTTGAAACATGGCTGTTACCGTTGCATTGAGATCCTCAATGTGTTCCGGGATGCCGCGTAGGCGCACATTCCCCCGTCTGTTGCGGTTCTCCAAATCCTCCAATTTCAGGAGCGTTGTGGAGACGTTTGATTTCAGGGATTCAAGATCTTGCTTGTGGGAATCGATCACTGTAATCACGTCGTCCATTTTATATTCCATATCATTGAGTCTGGATCCTAATTCCTTGATATCGCGGGAGAGGCGGGTGGCGAGCTAGTCAGTGGCCATTTGTAATTCTCGCTGTAGCAGCAGTTTAAATTTTTCCAGAAGCATCGCATCTCTGCAAGACGGCTCGGTCTGATTGCATAGTAATGGTGACTGCGACGCTGCTCCGTCGTTGGAAGAGAAAAAAAAAAAATTATGGTAGACTGAGAACACCCTAGATCATCTAAAGATCAGCATTCCTGTTTTTCTTAGGTGGTGGGATGTAAAAAGGCTCCTGAAGACACATTTATTGCCATCTCACCTCAGGAAAAAAAGGAGTACCTTTTATCCACTACTATTTACCATGAGAGCTATCTGTTGTGTCTGCAAGTGCTCACAGAATTGAGATTATGATCTGGGCATCCATTAGATAATCTGAGTAATCTTACATCAATTGGACCTGTATACAAATTAGATGAAAAGTTTAAATTATATGTCAAAATACACTTGAAAAGTAACAGTAACAGAAAATCCATGCTGCAGGGTGCCATATTAGGCTCAAAAAAACTTGGGGCCTCTGGACAACACAGACCTGTATGGAATGTGACGATTACATTAAATATATCTCTTTCTGTGCAGCTACAGAAACTCCTTTTTTCTAAATGTCTTTATCTCCTCTCATACACAGAGTAACTTTTTCTTTAAGTTTGAGGCAGTCGGTATGTACTTATATGTGTAATCCTACGAGGGTGGGAGGGGTTGTGTGATATAGCCCTCTCTAGAATGATGACAAACTCACCAGGGATTGGCCAGCCAACTAGCAGGATACTAATTTTCTAACATAGCACCCTGGAGCCTACGGAGCAGAGTCTGCCAGATTGTAAAACCGGGAACACTAGAGCACAATGGTTTGTATAAAAGAGCAAACAGAAAAGTTTAAAAGCAGGGCTTAACAAACATCCCTGCATATGAAAATGCTGACCTAGCCAGTTTATGTGAAAATAAAAGGAAGGAGAATGATACCCAACAGCTATCATCAGGTAGGTATCTGCCACCATTGACTGCACGTTCTCACCTAATCTGGTGGAACACAGCTGGTTTGAGCAACTATTTTAATGTCTGTGGGCAACCTGCGCTTCTGTTATGATTTTTTTTAAAACCCACACAATTAGCAGCAAAGGCTGTATTTATGAACAGTAGTTTAATACATGCCAAAGATACCTGAAATTCAGCATGTTGGAGCAATATGCTATCTTTCTAATTAGTTTACTAGATTCAGACTTTTTATGTCTGAAAAAAATGTTAATTAAAGCAAGATGCTTTTGAAGACCTGTCTTTGGTGCTTTCAGCGAGAATGTATGTTCTTGATGTTGAATGGTCTCTTGTGTGTTAACTGCTCCAATAGCAGTTAATAATACCCTATAAATGAACCCTCAACTTATCCTGATTAGAGTTTGCACCTATTACAGAACGTTTAACGGAAGAAAACTATAATTCCCACTCCACAGTTTTGATGAAATCTCCATTTTGTCTTCAGGTTTTCTCCCAATATTTTTTTTTAATACAAACCGACGGGAAGCATTTGCTTGTCAAGTGAATAAAATGTAAGGATTGATAACTGATAAGTATTTAAAGGATATGTAGGTGCCCAGATCTGGTGTGATTATTAGTCAAGCATTATGTCAGACATAATATTTTCAATATATCTAAACAGGAAAAACACAGACCGGATAGAATATTAAACTAGAAAAAAAACGGGAGACGCAATGGGCAGATTTTATAGAGTAGTATTAAAATGAATCTAAATCCTATAACTAAAATCTCATATAAGCTCCAAAAGTTGCTCCAAACCTCATGCTATTCCAAAAGTTGTTTTCAATCTTCTAATAGATGCAGCTTTCATTAAAATAATACCTTGGGATCCTGCCATGAAGAATCATTTTAGACACTTCTTGTTATGGGGTGACAACTGTCTCCTAATACTCTTCTTGGTACACATCCTGTCATGTGCTGACTTCAACTGGCCATTTCTTGGTGATCTACTTATAAGGACAACCCTTTATTAGAGGTAGGGGAATTTTGATGGCCAGTGCTGTTGATTTCAGCAGATAAGATGCCATAAATTTTTTTTTGGGGGGAGGGTTAAAATCTGGTTTGTTCAGTGGAATAAGCTGACACATGGAAGGCAATTGTTTTAATATCATATAAAAAATCTCAGAATTATTAGACAGTGCCGCCAGATATGGCTAGAAGGGGCTTCTAGATCACACTTTCTTCAGAACTTTGTTGGCATCACAGCCACACTTGCATGTAGTTATAATTGATATAATATGGCTTGCAGTTTAAATTAATTTCTCCTGTTTTGAGGAAGGTATAGCACATATTATCTTTCTGGAGAGTGGAAGGTGATTTTAGTTACAAGAATATATTGTTAAAGGAGAACTATGGGGTCCAAGCTTTTCTTTACTTTTGGATTCCATGGGCTATAGGAGTAGATTTCGCAATTTACTCCTATAATCCAAAATGCACCCTAAATGCACCATACAAACATGGTGGACGGGGCTAAGTGCCGCAGTGGGGAGAGATCCCAACAATACTGTCGGGATCCTCCCAACTGCTTGTTTTTACTGTGACTGACGGCGTTCCTTGAGAACTGCTGCGCATCCACGAATACATGGGCATGCGCAGCAGCTCTCTTCCTACCTCCGTCCCCGTCGTCTGTGCCAGCAAATGACAGCGCATGCATGGAAGGCCGTTTCTCCTCAGTGCCTCCGCCCCTCCTTCCTGTCTCTCCGTCTTGAAAATGTGCAGCAGTTGTACGGAAACCTGTTCCCCGTAAATCTTAGTTCCCCCTGACCGTTCAGCTATTATCATAACCCCGCCCCTTCCTCACAGCTGTTTATACTATATTGTTCAACAGTTGATCCATTAATGGCATATAGGTGCAAAAGGTTTTCTTGTGCATATTTGACAGTTTCATTTTGGTAATTTATTTACTACTGACTATAAATCCTATATACAATATGCAAATAGAGCGCATATCAGATAGAAAATCACTTATCACATGTATGTAATTGTGCACTCCATATTTTCACGTGTGCCATAGTTTTTTTATAGTTGTAATCCACATATCACATACAGTTGTGTGAAAAAGTGTTGGCCCCCTTCCTGATTTTTCATTGTTTTGCACGTTTGTCACACTTTAATGTTTAAACAAATTTAAATATTAGTCAAAGATAACACAAGTAAACACAACATGCAGTTTTTAAAGGAAGGTTTTTATTATTAAGGGAAAACAAAATCCAAACCCACATGGCCATGTGTGAAAAAGTGTTTGCCCCCCACCCCTCTGTAAAAACTTAACTCTGTTTTATCACACCTGAGTTCAATTTCTCTGGCCACAGGAGGTGGAAGATTCAGAGGAGGTGGAAGTAGCCGGGGGCCAGGCCGGTATCTTACAGTTGGATGTTCCAGGCCACAGTACTAAACAATTGGAAGGTGCGGTGGGAAAAGAAATTTAGAATAATGGTTCTCACCCGCAATAATGTCGCCTGATGATGGCACCCAACATTGTCCCCTCATAGATCCACTTTAAGTTCCTGGAATACATTACATTATCAGTTGTATGTATTGTAGTACCATATTAGACTTCTGTGCTCCTGAGTTTGTATATCTGTTTGTTGCAGCAAAACTTTATAGTTGTGTTTTTTTAATAATAAATACGAAAATCAATAATGCTAAAATAATTACGAGTATACATTTCTCCATCAATAATTCATTCTTTTTCTACTTTAGGAAGACAAGACTACAAGAAAAACAAGCCTGTATTAAAAGCAGCAAGACTAAAAGCAGAAGCCAAGAAATCAGCAATAGGGATTAAGGTAGACATGTATTTGATGGCTCACATTAACTTTCACTGCATGTCTACTTCCCTTTTCCCCCAGGATGTGCTGTGTGAATATTGATTTCTGAGAGAGATTGCTTATGACACTTCAAACTCAGAGTAGAATGGCTTCCTCTAAAATATTTATCATCTACTGCTTTACTTAAGGCATCGATTAACCCTCTGACTGCTTCTTATTATAGGTTTTTAAGGTCTGCTATTAAAATGGAATTTTGGTTAAATGCAGCCTACAGACATAAGAAGTTTACGAGTTAGACAATATCATTATAAAAGGAACCTGCTAGGATGGAGACATGATAGCTGCCATTGCCGGTGTGTTTTTAAAGGTAAAGGCTCCAGGGCTCAACCTGGAACAAGTATGGTTTTATCAGGTGTTCTTACACATTGTCGCATGTGTGCTTATCCTGGGTCAGTGATTCACTGAGCCATGAAGCAAGGACAACCCAAGAGTTTGCATCTTCCAAACTTCAGTTCGCTTTGGTATTTCTAGAGAACTTAACTTTAGAAGGTATTGTGAAGGGATGAATTAGATGAGGCTTTAGATTATACAAACATAACATTTTGGAAGATGAGCTACACCAACACAGCATGACTTTTGCAATCAGATCTTCCATACATTTGGCAGTACATACATCTTGGTAAATCTGGCAGAGCCTGATTATAAGGTCTAGATTATTTAAATGTATGTATAGCTTTTCAGTATGTTTGGCATCATCCCTCACTGTACATATGGTTAGGCAACAGATTTATTTGTGAATCTGTTGGAAATTTCCTACCTGGAGATCCTACCAGTAACAGCATTTGCTGTTGCAGACTAACAGCACTATACCACTGCAGCAGCATTGTCACCCTACCGTACACACTCCTTAAATTGGCCCTTGCCCATAGCTGATATAATCATAATATGGCCATCAGATAGACCTAATGGCCAGCTGAAGGAGTTCATGGCAGGCGGCCAACTCTGCTGCTGAATTTTAGGCAGTGACTAATTGATATGACCCTGAAAGAGGAAGTGCTATTACTGGCAGAATCTCCAGTTTAGAAACTTTGCAACAGATTCACAAAACAATGTTTGCATGATAAAACTATTTACAGTAAGACATGGTGCATATAATATACTGAAAATTAGATTTTGGGTTTACATACACTTTAAGAGACAGTGAAAGTGTTTGCATGATGGCCATATACTGTACAGTAGCTGATTTATTCATAATAGGAACAGATATCTACCCTATCTGTTTGACATCAGCGGTGGGTGTTAATCATCCATGGGAGTTGGTTTCACTCCATAAATAGGCCCAATATCCGGCATATTATGTCTAACATGTAACCAACTGTCTGATAGCCCTTGTATGGACTCATTTTGGCTGCATGTGGGTTATAAAATATATATGCTTCGGAGACTACAATACCTGATAATGTTTTGATGCATACTGGATTTCACCTCTTTTGGAACATATGCATACACAGACAGGACAGGGCTAGTGGTGCATTACATGGTTTAGCAGAGATGGAAACCACTTGTGTCCAGTGTGCTGCAGATCTGACCTACATGGAATCATTGCTTCACTTCACTTAATTGTGGTGAACAGGGGCTTTTTATGCTACACCCATCAAATCAAAAATGTTCCAGCCATCAAGCTACACATCTGAAGGTCTACTTTGTTGTTATGGGCATAGTGCTTGACTGGAGAATCCTGTGCAGGACTTCTGCAACCAGGTTGTCCTGTCTGATTTTAGGAAATATGTCACAAACCCTGCACATTTAGTTTCAAAGCACATGTGGTTTTTAGCAAGTAAAGGGCATCACACTGTTGGATTAGGCCCCACCCACCAAGGTAAGTTTTGATGATTTTGCAAAAATAAAATAATCACATTTATCTGGGGTGGGAAGGTTTTGTTACCATCAGAGCCTAAGATTAAGTAGAAAATGCACCTGAATATGTTTGTGCCTTTTTTCATCATTTGTTTATCCATTTTGTTGTCTGAGTGTGAAAGTCAGTGTCCTTCAACCTGCCTAAATGTTTGAGTTTTTTTGTATTGTAAGAATATGTAATCATTAAGGTTTTCACTGAACCCTAATCACAGTTTAACAGAGGATACATCATCCCATATGATATTAATATAATCATTATTATTTTTTTGTTGTCATTTTACCTGCCTCCTTCCTTCATGTAACAACGAATGCCATGTAGTAATACTTGGAAATAGGTTCATGTACAATGAAGTGATGTAGCTTTTAAAGCAGAACTAAAACTGGCTGTGGTCTGGGAGCTCTTGCAATAATGTATAAGTATGCACCACATACTTGCATATTACGGCAGACCTAACCATTAAAAACTGCTCTCCTCTAGCACCAACAGATCCACAATCTGGCATGTTGTCTAGCAACTAATACTGTAACTCCCTTGCATGCGAACTGGAGTTAGATCCTCCTGGAATCGGTTGCATTCTCAGCAAATGCCGATATTGGACTGGGAGTACGCAGACACTGCAGGCAGTATACACAATAATACAAAAAAATTAGGAGGAAAGGGAAAGAGTTTTTATACCATGTCTCTTCTTTTTTTTTTTTTTTATTCTTTATTAAAGACAACAGTAGTATAAATGAAAATACAGTAGTCTTAATAAGAAAATAAAAAATTGTCAAGGCTAACAAAGTAGAAGAATAATAAGTCATTGCCCAAGATATAATAAAATCCATCTGCGCATTTGGCAATCAAATGATCACATGGGGCCTGATTCATCCTAATTAAGAAATGAGGATCGGATCTCCGAAGGGGAGGATCCGAACTCCAAAGGGGAAGACCCTGTGAGGGCGCCCCAAAGGAGAGTATAGGGGTAAATAAAGGGAAATAAATCAACAGTTCTATAAGGGTCTCCCAGAAGAGAGAAAAAGACAGTAGAGAAGAGGAAAATACAAATGAAGGATAGAGGGATACAGAAAGACCTACCAAGTCTCTTCTACCAAAAAAAACCTCCTAGAATTTTTTTCAACTTTTTAGTTCCCCTTTTACAAGTACCATTTGTTTCCCATGTACCAATTTTAAGAAGCAGCCAAGATTGTGACTCGCTGTGAGACTGTGCTTATTTTTATCACTCTTATTGAATTGTTAGCCAGTGACCCAATCACTAAGAAGCATGCAGGAGCCAGTTAATTAGCCATAGTGAAAGCAAGATTATTATTTTTTTCTAATTTGTGTTTTGGGCAATGTTTAGAATTAGGAATAGTGTTTCAACTTGGTTTACTAGTTTTTGATTCACAATTCTAGTTTTGTTTCTGATTGCCTTTCGAGCAGACCTCTGGGATAAGCAAATACTGTCTAAAAATGGGAGATGTGTATTCTTACTTGCATCATGGGGTTCTAATTATAAACAGTTTGCAGAGCCATTTGCTCCACAAATCTCTATGAATTGAAGCAAAAAAGAGAGAAAATGGGGCTTTTAAGGTGTCACTCTAGGCATGGAGAACATATAATTTTTTACACATAAACTCTTAGAAATTCATTTTTATTTTGATGAATAAATACAAATAAAAAAGGAGGGGCCAATGTATAAGCCCGTTGGTTTCACATCCACATCAACTTCCTAAACATAGTACAGTCTAAAATCACCATAGGCCTGTGGCCTCCCAGGACCACACGGCCACATTCTAGGCATCAGCATTGTAGTAACCATTTGTAAATATTGATAAAAGTAATTATTGAGTTCTTGAACTCAATAATTACTTTTACACTAATTACACTGAATTGAGAAAGCTGGTTAGATGACCAGTGAAAAGTCTTCAAGAAAAATACAGCAAGTCCAGTTGCCTTGACTTATTTTTTTTTTTTATACAATGTCCTTAGTGTATATTATTTTCAGATGCAATGTAATACTGCATTATGGCCCCTAGATAGAGTGGAGGACTATAGGAAATATACTTTTTTTTCTATGCTCCTCGGCATCATCTAGAGGCCATAACGCAGCTTCAAGGATCATGAAACAGGAGTGAGATTTCAGGCCCAAATATCCATATCTACTTACAAACCCTCAGCTGATGATCAAAAAAATGATAATACATTTATTTGAACTGTGTAACCTGACTGCATCAGTACAGTGTGAATGAAGGTCACTGTGATGATGCCCTAGAGGGCCCATGACACCCTGCATTCACAGGGTAGTACCCAGTCTTACGGATTGAATGACCCTAGGTGCATTCAACCAGCAAGACTTAGGGCATCTTGTGGTCAGAAAAAGAGGTACTGCATAGGACATTTCCAAATAGAAGATTAGTGTTGTAGCCAGAGCTCCTTTTTGTTTTTTAGATTCAGATTAGGATAACAGTCCTGGAACTTGCAGTGCCGACTGCCATCATTTTGTAATGACAGGTTTCTTTTAATAGGTGATATTTTTATATTTGTCTGGCTGCTGGCTTTAAATAATTGTCAAGCATTGATGGTCTTTTCTTGTCCAGCAACAGAGCATACAAATGAAGCTGGCAGCACATAGGCCAGACATACTGTCTACAAGTGTACATGTTTTATTTAGAAAGAAAAAAAAAGAAATTAAAATATGTTAAAACAGAAGCGCTTTTCCCTTGTATGTGGCAGATGAAAAATCAATTTTTACAAGTTCTAGCTAATAGGAAATGCCAAGGTATTACTACCAAGCTGTACCAGCTGCTCAGCCTCCAGATGATGGATTTGGGTCTCTTCCAGTATTTGCTATTCTAATCATGAAACAGTGATTTTTTTCCCCCTCCTTCCTCCTGCTCCTGACTGCAGACCTTGATCAGGCACTGCCATGTGATGTAGCATGTTTTCACAACATAATCTCTGCAGTTAGTGCCGTGTGTCAGTTTTTTAATGAGGAAAAGGAAATTGCCTTTTTGTTCAAAGATGTATCATTAACCTATGTTTCTTTCATTTTAATTTAGGTTGATGGTCTCTCTTTTTTGCAATGTTTTCTGCTTTGATTTACACTTGTAAGCTTTCT